CTAGGACAAGAAAAACTTGCTTATAATTTACTATCCTTCTATCATCCTTTTCCCTGATTCACTACAATTGTTCTAGGCTCATGTGTTTGCATTTCTGCATCGGTCTTGTCCATTGATTCTCATGTAGAACTTGAACTGTAATTCCACAAAAGCCAGCACCAACAGATGGGGTCTTCCAAAGACATATAAAGCTTCCAGAGGGGTGCAAAACAAAGGCATTGGCTGGTCCTCCTTTTAACGTGTTAATTTATGATCCAAAACCACTTAAGGAAAAGCAAGCTATAAAGTCCCACTCTACAGAAAGGAAGGCCAGCATTCCATGACACAGGCAACAGGGATTTATCTCAAACTATGAGTCCACTGGCTGCTTTCTAATCATTGTCAGAAAGAAGGGCCACTGCCATACCTGCCATCCTGGAAACAACATCTTCATTTCCCTAAATTACAACTGGCTGATTTGAAAAGTTACCACTTTCAGTAACTTAGCGAAACTCCTCAGCATATCTCAGAAGCTACAGCAGGAAGTAGTACTGCTAAACAGTAGGCCTGCTGTAGCTGTCTTCTAGAGACTCTTTTGGCCATGGTGGGCTTGTTTCATTTGCTTTGGAAATTCTCAGGCTAAGTCACCCCAGCCTTATTATAGGAGGCAGAACAATGGCGAGAGTGCCAGCCAGTCCTCCAGTGCTGGGACACATCTGAAGAAACATCTCATGAGAAACTGGCCACTGCCTTGGCCTGTCTTGGATGGTGGCTGTGATCATCTCTGGGGTGGCAGGTGTCTTGATAGATGCCTTCTTTTTGTAGAAAGATGTTAACCTATGCAATGGTTAATTTTATGAATCAACTTGACTCTAACGGAGTACCCAAATTAAACATTATGTCTGGGTGTGTCTGTGAGGGTATCTGGATGAAATGAGCATTTGAATCAGTGGACTCAGTAAAGTACATGGCCCTCCCCAGCATAGATGGACACCATCCAACCTTTGGAAGAATAGAACAGAAAAGCAGGGGAAGAAGAGTTTGCCCCTTTTGCTTCCTCCCTGGTTGCCTGAGTTGGAATAATGGTCTTCTCCTGAACTTGGACTGGAATTGCACCACTGCCATTCCTGGATCTCCAGCTCACAGATGGGAGATGATGAGACTTCTCACTTTCCACAGTCACATGAATCAATTCCTTATACTAAGTCCTTTCCTTCCACATAGGAAGGACTTATTATATATGGAAGGAAAAGACTTACTATGGATGGAATTGTTTCCATCTATAAGGAAACACTCATTTAAAAAATACTATATATACACACATATATATTAATGTACACTTGCATATATTTTCCTTAATATATTTTATAATATATTATATTTTATATTTTATAAAATTTATAAATATTTTATTTAATAAGTGCTATATAAAGATTATACATAAATATATATTTTTATATATACATATATTTTAAATATATAAATATATTTATTACATACAATTATATATTTTTATATATTATATATTATGTTATATAATTTATTATATATAATATAACATATATATAATTATGTTATATAATATATAACATACTATTATATATGAAAATATATAAAATTATACACATACACACACACACACACACACACACACAGCTTCTCTGGAGAACCCTGACTAATACAATCTACTTCTAATTACCCTACTGCACATAAGCCTGGACTTACCTAGCCACACAGGTATTTGTCAGAGAGCACAACATAAACTGTGTACCTCCCCATATTTTCTGAAATGTAGATGAGAGAGACAATATTTAGGGAAGTTTCCTTGGAAAAATCGTTACTGAATCTATTCACTTCCCAGATACGTTTCAAGTGCCCCAGGATGGAGACAGATTGGCAGACAGCAGCGGATGCTGCCATATCTTCTTGTCCACTTCATCCCTCTCTCCGCCTTCTCCTCCCCAGACTGCTTTCTCACAGCCGTCATAAGAAACAGGCCTGTGAAACTCACTTGTGTGACCTCAGTAAGACTGTGGTGGGGAAAACTGTTCATTGCATCATACAGTGTTTTCTTTACAGGGACTCCTGGGAACAATTCCTGTCTGGCTTTTGTGTGAACAACAGGTAGAATTTTCCTGAGCAATTGCTTTTTTTTAATCTCACAGACATTGTGAACTGTGTATCTGACGAGTTTCCTTTATTCCACTACTGGTTACAAAGCTGCAGGCTGTATGTGTGACCCACCAGTTAGTAACAGGTGTGCAGAAATGCGGTTTTTGCATTATTACCAGCTCTGTGTATTTTTTCCTTCTATCTGGTGTTGCCTCACTTTTAATTTATGATATCCTGTCATGTTTTATGTCCCATTGAAAGCCACCTGGAAGACGTTTTGTGAAATATGATTTGGTTTACATTGACAAGAAGATAAGACATGGAAGAGCTCCATGTCATGTGTTTCCATCTGTTTTCTTCAAATATTCAATTATGATCTCCTTTAACATCCTCCCACTGACAGACCCAAGGTTCAGGGCATGCAACTCAGAACTGCCACAATAACAATCAGAAAATAATTGGAAAACCCAAACAAAGTTGCTGAAAATATTGTGATGGTCCTGCCTCATTCTCATGACCCACCTGAGGCAATGCCATTGAAATCACACAGCTTCTTGGCAGCCTAATACATCTGAACACTAATTTTAATGAAAAGAGTAAATAACACTACCGAATACTGAGGTGACATGTGGAGGTTTCTTGCGCTCTCCTGTGGTCTGCAAGCGACCTCGGGAAGCAGAAAGAATAGGTATTTCACTCTGCAGTGCTGCTAAGTGGCAAGGATGAACTGTTGGCCCCTAGATGGGCTCTTTACGCCCAAGGATTTTCTAACTGCAGGAAGTGGCTTAAATTCAAGAAGAGAAGTGACAACATGAACTTCCAGCAAAGTGTGTGGAGAGACAGCTAGGCAAAACAATACATGAAAATATGTTTGGTATCATCAGTCCTCAAAGAAATGTAAATTAAAACTACAACGTGCTCCCATTACACACCTATTCAAATACTAAAATTAAAAAGACTGACCATACTGAGTGCTGGTGAGGACATGGAGCAACTAGAACTTTCATAGACTGCTGGTAGGAACGTAAAATGGTACAACCATTTTTTCAAACAGCTCGTTGTTCTTTAAAGTTAAACATATATCTACCAGATGACCCTGCCATTCCACTTCTAATTCACTTTCATACCCAAGAGAAATGAAAGAACATGTCCGTACGAAGACTCACACATGCATGCTCACAGCAACTTCTTTGTAATAGCCAGAAACTGCCAACAACCCAACAGGTATCCATCAACAGGTAGATGGATAAACAAATAGCAGTATATCCATTCTATGACATATTTCTTAGCAAAAAATAATATTGTTACACACAACAACATAAGTATGTTGTAGGAAAGAAGGGTACACACTGCATGCTTCCATTTACATAAAATTCTAGAACATGCAAGCTAATACGTATTGTCAGAAAGCAGATTGGTGGTTGCCTGTGACAGATGGGAGTGGGGAGGTCAGAAGGAAGTGATTATACATGGGAATGGAATTTTGGATGTCATGCATACATTCAATATCTTGATTGTGGTAATACTTTCACATACAAACATATTAAAACTGTATACTTTAAACATCACATCTCAGTTATACCTCAATAAAGCTATTTAGACATTTATGTTTTTGAGAAGGAGTTTTGCTCTGTTGCCCATGCTGGAGTGCACTGGTGCGATCTCAGCTCACTGCAACCTCTGCCTCCCAGGTTCATGTGATTCTCCTGCCTCAGCCTCCCAAGTAGCTGGGATTACAGGCACTCGCCACCACGACCAGCTAATTTTTGTATAGAAATAATTTTTTTAATGTTAAATAACCATAGCCACATGTAGTTAGTGGTTCCTGCACCAAATAGCACAGCTCCAACTTCTGCACTGCTCCAAAAACTTGCTATTTGTGTTGGTATTAATACAAGTATGCTAATGTTCTAACAAGTTATGTTTTAGTTCTGTGTGTCGCCCTCTGTCTCTAACCTCCACTCAAAGAGATCCTTTCTCATCTTTCTTGGAAAGTAGCATGAATTAGCAGAAATAACAGGAAGGCAAATTCAAGCTTAAAACACTTCCCTGATGGACTTTACTAATGGACTTATTTAACCAAAGAACAGACAGATTGTTTATTTTAGTGAAAAATTCCCATAAAGAGCAACTCTCTAATTTGACCCAGATGTACTAGTCAATCACTGGATATCCAAGAACCTTCCAGTTAAGATTACATGACAACCACATATCCAGAACCTAAGATATTCCGTTTGCCTTAGCCCTAGTAATCTACAATTAAAAGACAAAGTTTGTTAGAGGGTAGTTGGAAAAGGTCACAGTTACAAATTCCAGTTATAGAACTTTGAGGTTGTGGTCTCGGTTTCTGCATGTATGAAACGGTTATACCAATGCCTGCCTAGCAGAATTGCAGTTAAGATTTAACAAGATCATAGATGCAGGGCACCATCAAAGGAACAGAAGTACTTTAAAAATATCCCTTCCCCTTACACAGCAAACCCTTCACCACAGCACACACTTTCTTCCCTTATCAAGGGAGAAGGCAGCATTGTTAGCCCAAGCTGCCCCATTTTGTAAACCTCTGCCATTTTGCAAATGCTGGTTAGAGCAGAAAATTCCACTGGGGCTCAGGCCATGAGACACATCCTGCCAGACAAGTCCCAGATTTAACCGCCTGACCCCAGGAAACTCCTTGCTTATCAGCAGCTGACCACACCACCCACCCCATCTCACAAGCCCAGACCTCTCCCACCTGGACCTATAATTACCCCAGTTTGTAAGCAGGGGCGGGCTCCAGTGCTAGCTGGTGTCCCCCTCCTCAGGTCTTTGTTCAATACACTTGTGTTGCCATAGAGCTGCTTCCTTCCATTCCTTCTTTTCCCTTTCTCATCCTAACAAGTCCTAGCAGAGGCTTCTGTCACGCTTACCTGGAGCCAAAGCTTGTCATGCTGAGACCACTTCCCACCAGCAATGCACTGAAATGTGGCATTCTGCCCCACATTCACCTCCACGTTTTGCAGTCGCAGAAAATGAGGTGCTTTTCCTAAGAGAGAAACCAAAGAACACATAAGAATGAGATTCAGCAGCCTGCACCACTTCCCTGTTGGTGGATGGCAGCTCAGGATGGGCACCGGGCAGGGTGGAATTGGGACTTGAGAAGTGGTCCAGCTCAGCGAAGAGTTCACTGATCGCTTATTATGAGTCTGGCACTGTTCGAACTTTACACGCAGTATCTCACTGAAACCTCACAAAAATCCATGAAGGGGACAGTATTACCATTTCACAGATCAGAAAATCAAGGCTCTGAGGGTTTACATCATCATTTGGCACAGACATACATCCAGAGGGTGAGGGAATCAGGATGTGAATTTAGATCTCTGTGTCCTATTACTAGCTGCTATGCAATGTTGCTCTGTGAAATTGGCACACACATGCCTAGAATATACCCAAATTGATCATTCTTCTGGGGCTGGCATTGCACAAAAGGTGAAACTATGACACTGAAAGAAGAAAAATTGGGGGGCAGGAGGAGTGTAGATATTCATGATAGGTGATGCTTTCCTGTAACCTCAAGAAGCAAAAAAAAGAAAGCTGCAGTGAAGCACCTTTGGGCCTGATACCTGTATGCTTGGCCTGGGTGATGATGCTGATGAGGAAGATGATGAGGAAGACAAAGAATGGAAGAGGGAGGAAAAGAAAAAGAAAACACTAGTAGCTGTCATTCTTAGCGCTTGCTCTGTGATAAGTACCACATGAAGTGTCTCTCTGCAGTAACTCACCTAACCCAATGCAGTCAGTAGTGTTATTTTCTCTATTTCACAGTGAATGAACGGAGGCACAGAGAATTCTAGAAATGTGCCCAATGTCACAAGACCCCAGAGTCTTACTCTGTGATGGTGCTTTCTGAGCATGAGAGGGAGCATTGATTCTAGGGACTGGACATAACAGGGAAAAGGTCTTTCAAATGAAAATCAGAGTGTGTATGAGTAGACACTCTTCGTGTTAAGTCTACATTTTATATTGAGTAACCTGGGTCCATCTCTTTCCTTTTTTGTGGAGAAGGGTTCTCACCTACCTGCACTCTACAAATAATAACATAAGTAACAGCTCTCCATCAGCTGATAACTTGTATCTAGAAGGACTGGTTTCTTCATTGAGGCACAATGAAGAATCTCTATGCCATCAATCAAATCAGTGATGAACTGGGACCACCCCCAGAACGGAAACAAATGGAGAGTTAGGAGAGGATCAAGGAGGTTTAACAGGAGGCTTTGGCCATCTTTCTAGAGGGAGTCAAATACACAGAGAGGCAAATAGTAACAATAATGTCATTTACTGAGAGCTCCTACAATGCCAGGTACTATGATAAATGCTTTGCATGCTCTATCTAACTTAACTTCATGACCTTCCTATAAAGCAGACACTATTATGATTTCCCTGTTAGGCAGAAATCAACGCTCAGCAAGTTTAATGTGCTGAAAGCTCCACAGCACTAGTGAAAGACAGAAACAGAATTGAATCCAGGTCCACTTTAGCCCCAGACTCAGCATTTAACAAGCAGCTATGCTCCCTTGCCTTCTGGGCACTGGGAATGAGGATGGTGTCTCCAGATAGACTCCAGGGTCTGCAGAAGGGGCTCCCAGTCAGGGCTGTGCTGCTGGTTCAGGTTTCTTTCCATGCTCCCAAATATTTTATTAAAAGTGACCACTTTCCTTGCTATTTTTCCTTGATTTGAATTATTTTGTCTACCTATCTGTGTCAGCACCTATAAAAATCAGCAAAAGCCAAGAATCTTGGAACAATTAGGCAGACTTCTTGGGAGAGCACTGGGCAGGGTGGAATTGGTGCTTGAGAAGTGGCCTGGCTCAGTGAAGAGTTCATGTATCACTTAGGATGACTCTGACACTGTATGAAGAACTTGACACGTCGTATCTCACGGAAACCCCCAGAAAAATCCAGGAAGTGGGCAGTATCCCCATTTCCCCAATGTACTTTCGCTCAGGTTTTTAAACTAATGACAGCAGCTCAGAGACCCCTCAGGCTACCTTTGAACCACCATGGCTGGCGTGGTGTCAAGGACCCAAGGCCCAGGGAAAACCACTTCTATGGGCTTTTCAGAGTTGAAAATTGCAGCATCTAGTCAACTTGACAAATGCCATGCTGCTTCGATTGTCTGAAATTGTTTCCTTTTGGCTCTCCTGTATAATTTTATAAAGTTATTTTTGGAACTATCAGTTCAAGTCCATTCTTGAAGTGGAAATATAGTGAACCTTGTAAGTCTGTTCATACCACAGGTTTAAAGGGGGAGTGAACACATCCACCCCAGGTGGGAAGGGAGTGCAGAGTCTTAGCTCCAATGCCGGGAAACTCTGTGTTTGGTTTTACAAAGAAACGCTCTTCCCTTACCCTTCGAGAAAATGGTTTAACCTCTGGGATACAATTAGCAATGAATCTTCTCTGGATCAATGTCCCCAGCATGCCTCTGACTCCTCTCCACTTCCTCCTTCTTAGCAACAGACCTTTCACCTTGATTCTTTCATCTTCAATTCCTCTTCTTCCCTCCCTTCTAGGTTCAGTGGTAGAGAGTTTAGATGTTTAATGCCTCCTAGTGTGAATATTCTAGGCAAATACTGGCGATTTACCGCAGAGATTATGAACGCATGCACCTACAAGAGCCAGTTAAGTAAATTGATAAAGTTGTTCAGCTGTAAAACAGAACAAAAATACCACTTCCTTGCCCCATCTTTTATTTTCCCACTTTGGATAGAGACTTGAGAAAAATAAACATTTATTTATATAAGAAAAGCAATGTTGCAAGCACAATAACAACTGGCATCCACCAGTAGCCTTAGCACTGGGGAGACAATAGGAGTGGTGAGGACTGGAGGGAAATGGAGAGAGACTCTGCGTCCCACTGAAACGGGGCAGCTCCTACTTAAATTCAGCAGAGGTCGGCCAGGCATGCATGCTTTGTACAGGGGTGTCAAACATCTGATTTCTCAAGGCCAGTAAGAAATCCAGACTTTACATGAAGTCTCTCACTCTAAACTCAACATGTTATTAAAACACAATACAGGATTAACAAAACATGTGGGCAGGCAGGCTCTATCAATTTGCGGTCTCTGATATGTAGCTCCTATGTAAGTCATTTGCAACAATTTCCACTAGCCAGTCTCACCCGATCCAGCCCCATACATGCAGGAACGCCCCCACCACTCCATGCAGTACGCTGTGGGCATCACATGAAGGCCAGCCCCAATTGCAGTTCCCAGCACAGGAGCTGATCTAGACCACTCTCTTCTTGTTCAGGACCCTTGTCTCTGCTCCTTGGGGCTCTGGGTCATCCTCGGCTCATGACAGGCGGTGCTCTCTGGGGATTGTGCTTATGTGGAGGACCTGTTCGGTCCTCTTCCCTGTGTTCCTGGCTTCTCTGACCCTCCTTCTTCCATGCCCTCACACAGCCTGCCCATCAGCCACAGGCTCTCCCAACTGTCGCCTTCCCCCAGCATCTGCTGCTCTGGGAGAGAACTTATACTCCACCAGCTTCAACTCACTCACCTTCAGCCAAACACGGTTGACCTTTGTACCCAGGTCAGCCATCAGCTCGTGGTTCTAAGCATTTCCTACTCACTCCGCACTAAGACCCAATTCTGCCCAGATTGGGTGCCACTGAATGGGCTTAACAGAAGACTGGCTGTGCATTTGGGGCAAAAACGCCTTGACGTTGGTGACATTTAGACTCCTGCAGATGTCAGTGCAGCATCTGAAGACATATTATTGTGCCCTTTATCTTGCTCTTTAAACCTGCCAGTGCTCAGTAGGAAGCCACACAATTGTGGAGAAAGCCCAGTACACACATTAGAAACATGCTGCAGACACTCTGTGGGCTCAGGGACGTGGCCCCACAAGATTGTGAGGGGGAAAGAAAAGTCAACTTAGAAGCTAGAAACTTTGAAACAGACTGGAATAATCATACTGACATTTATGGTACACAGTTATAACTGCCTTGGCCCTGCTAATGGCTAACACTGAGAAACAGCAGCAGAGGGTAAGTAAGGCTGGAATACTTTTAGAACAACACAAAAATGTTAAATGGGCTATAAAATATAGATGAGAGGTTTCCATTTGTAAGAGAAAATAATTTCCTTTGAGTATTATGCCTGTCTTTTGCTTACTGTTTTGGGAGCTTGGAGGCGATTATCTACAGTTCTAATTTCAGTGCCAATCAATGGAAGATACAATTGCAAATCAGTCACTCGCTCTCTGGAACTTTTGGAATATTTAGTGGAATCACTTATTGATAAACTCTGACCATATGTTAACAGAAAATATGTTTCAGAGGACAGAAGGGGAGAATTAAAAAGACTTCATGTCCACTGGCTTTTTTGAATTGAATGCATATATTTCAATATAGTTAAATTTTTAACCATCTATGAGCAAAGTCATAAATTCTAAGACTGGAGGTTGGGGAAAAGCACCATTAGCCTAAAGGGGAGTTCAGAAGCTACTATCCAGTTGCATAACAGGTAATCCCTGTAAGCAGCCCCTGGGGCCCATAGCTGGCTCCTCACAAGGCAGCCTGCTCAGTTCTTCCCCGGCTCGCACCACCTTGCTTAAGCTAGAAATCTGTGAGTGCGCCATGTCTGAGGCCTGACTCCTAATCCAATTCATCAGATGAGACCAGTTGGCTCTGCCTCCTAAATGGGTCTCTAATCTGTGCACCTCTGGCCACCTCTATGCTCTATGTTTCTTCATTGTCCTGCTTATCATTTGTCATGGTCTGAACTGTGCCTCCCCCAGATTTATCTTTTGATATACGACCCTAACCCCCAGTGTCTCAAATATATTGAGCAGCAGGGCCTTTGAAGATGTGATTAAATTAAAATGAGCCCTTTAGGGAAAGCCCTAATCCAATCCAATCTGACCAGTATTCTCAACAGAGAAGGACATGTGAATGCACAGAGAGACACCAAGGGACTGTGAGTACAGACGAATGACCATGTGAGGCCTCAGCAAGAAGATAGCCACTTGCAAGCAAAGAAAGAGCCTCAGGAGAAACTCGCGCTGCCAACACCTTAATTTTGGACTGCCAGCCTCCAGAACTGTGAGAAAATAAAATACATTTAAGTTGCTTAAGCCATCCAGTCTGAGGGGTTTTGTTACGGCAGCTTTAGCAAACTAACACACCGTCTGTGCATATAATTATATAATCACATTATATAATTATAAATGTATATATTATATATAAATGTAAATTATATAATTATATTATGTATTTATATATTATAACTTACATTTATATAATACATACTTCTATGTCATTCTATATTCTATATTCAATATCATACTTGTATAATAATTATATAATATATAGATTATAATAATATAATCATATAATTACTTTGTTTTGTTTCAGCCTCCTTCCCTTCAACAGAAGTCCATGAAGACAGACAGTCAATCTGTCTTTCTCACTCCCACAAACCCAGAATGGTGCCTGACATGGAGCTCATGCTCAATAAATACTTGTTGGATGATGAATGGATGTCTCTCAACCACCCTGGTGCAGGCCACCACCACCTCTTGCATGGCTCCAGAACTTTCTTCCTCCTAGGTTTCCTGACATCTTCTTTATGGTCCTTCAACACAGAGCAGCCCAAGTGACCCTTCTCCAGCAGCACTCCCTGCAGCAGAGCCTCCCTGCACTTAGACAAACATTTAAACTACTCACCATGATGCCCAAGGTCCAGGCTTTCCTGCCCAACATTTGCCCTAACCACTTTCTCCTGTGCTCCGTATGCTCAGGACATGCTGGCAGCATCAAGCCAACTCCCTGTGCAAGACCTCTGTAATCGTTGTCACCTCTGCCTGAAGCACCCCTCCCGCAAATCACTAGACTGTGAACTCCTTCCTGTGATTTGAGTCCCAGCTCAGGTCACATTTTCAAAGATATCTCCTCTGACCACTAAATCCAAGAAGCCCTCCCATATCCCAGACACCCACACTTATTATATCCACAGGACTTTTCACTATCTGAAATTTTGGGTTACTTAATATTACTGATTTAGTGACTTTCTTTCCATTGCCTCTCCTGCTAATCAAACACCATGAGTACAAGGACCTAACCTTTCTTAGTCACTTAAGTATCACCGTGCCTAGGAACGTTCTTAACACATAGCTGACATACGCACTTGCTGAAAGAAAGAATAAAAACCTGGGCTAGGTATGGACTGAGCACTGCTCCTTAGGAAAGCGACTTTGCTAGGCCCTACTCAACTCCACATGATTCATAAGCTGTGGATATACCTCAGGCATTATATACACTGCCAGTATTTGTCCAGATAGTGAAGTGAATTTTTTCCAAATCCAGCCACTCCTATGGGGTCTTCACATAGTGGTTTCTGGGAAGTTTATGCTTAAGCTGCCTCAACACTGAGATTGAACCCAACAGAAGCACATTATGTGGACATAAAGCCAGGATCATGCCTTTCTGAGTTATATCCCATGGTCCATTTGCTGGGTAACTGGCTCTCAGCAATTTCATAACCACGCAACCCACACCCCTCTGCAGGAGGAGGCTGAGGTTGTCAGGAGAATTCTAACTTCGGGAGCAGCCCCAGTGAAAGGACAATTTCAAGAGGACTCATGAGACTTTGGGGGGTGGACAGTCATTCCAGTGCCCTCCACAGAACCCTCTCCCATGGATATTTATCAAAGAGAATGGTACATATGCTTGTGACAGCAAACCATGGTCAGTGCTTGGAGGTAAGGCAGAGCTTTTACTACTTTGGGCTTGAAGGTAGTTACGACTTGACAGGTAGTTACGGCTTGACAGGTGTCAAGGTTGGGCATCAGGATGGAAGTGAAAACTCCCATTAGAGCACAAAGTTCTGGGATCCAGGTAGCAAGACTCATGCTATTTTCCCCTGGGAAAAGCCAGCTGTCACCCACTAGAAAGACAAAGTCCAAGCATCCAGCACAAGGTAAGAAGCAGGAACACAGGTAGATGTGGCAGAGGCAAGCATGCTCTGAGTGGATGGGATGTAGGCAGGGAATGAGGAAGACAGAAGGCATGTTTCAGAGAGACTACCTTGAAACTGGAGGTGGTGCAAGGTTGAGCGCATGCAATTAAATGGACCACAGGTAGCGTTGACATCTCCCAACACAGTTGCCCAGTCTTAGACCAAAGATCGTTCTCCAATGAGCAGCTGATGCTGACCCCCATGAGTCCAGGGTGGTGAGTATTTCACCCTGGGGAAGGAGATTCATATGCCTATCTACTACATAAACCCTGCATAGCTGGGGGGATTTCTGGGATCCTCTTCACATGAAGTCTGGGTCAACAGAAACATTTCCTCAGGCATGACTGAATGACAGACCCATCTGAGAAATTCTAAAAGACTCAGGAAGTAACCCAGAGGGTAGGGACTCTCAGCCAGTGCAACGAAGAGCCCAGTAGCATATCAGCATTCCTAAGATACCAGTTGCTTCTTGGGAAAGAGGATCTGTCCTGCACAGGACCCAGAGTTTCTCAAAATAACGTTCAGAACTTGTAATGTGTTCCAAATTCCTTCAGAGAAGGGGCTCTAAGACAATGAGTCAGACAATGGCATTCTAGTGCCAGGCAGAGGGAGGGAAGTTACATCTGAGGGTCTGACAAATTCATTGCAGCAGAAATGGAAAGTCATTTCAATTAAAGCAACATGGATGAGGCTGAAATCAGAATAGTCCCTAAATGGGAGGATTGAGAAGCACATAAGGAAAGGAGGACCCATGATGTCTCTGGAGGCAGCAGCAAACTGCACCACAGCCCAAAGCACGACACATGGCCATATGGGAGGAGTGGAGAGAGCCTACAGGGGATTACCTAGAACTGGATGGCTGCCGAGAAACTACTGGGAATCTCCAATCTGTAGAACACTAACAAACTCGTGGGCCTGGCATCCCAGCTACCCCTCCCAGGGGCTGTCATAATCTCCATGCAAATCAGTTTTATTTCAGTCCCCCCAACCAAATGTCACTGGGTATGATGTCATCTCAACTACCTGTACTCAGGACTTACGGCCTCCGAGATTTAGCAAACCCAGAAACCACATCTCCCTGCTGAAAAACGTTCCAATGTCTGAGACTAAATATGGCAAAGAAGTGGATGGGTATGAAGGAGTGGCACGCCTTTGAGGACTCTTGACGCTGTACCATAAGTACTAACCACTATGAGAAATCTCCCTCTATGCCTACACGGAGCTGATGAGTATATTTAAAATTATTTTAAAAGAATTAATAGCTTCAGGGTACTTTTCTCTGTAAGTGCTAATTTGCTCAGTGTTTTAGTGGTGTTCTTTATTTTTTAAAAGACAATTGCACAAGATTCTATCCAAAGCCCTCTAATTCTTCCACTTCAGTGGTCTGAATCCCAATAATAAACAATCAGGACTTTAGACTCCCTTAATAATGGAGAGAGATTCAAATAAAGATGTTTTGCCACTCTCTGCAAATTCCTGGAGGTGCTGCCTGTTGAACAGGCCGGTAAAATTATGGATTTATTCAGGACTGATTGCACTGAGTATGTAAGCATTTCTGAAGGATTAAAAGAAAGAGAGAGAGAGAGACAGAGAGAGATGTTTGTGAGCTGAATGAACAGAGGGGATTGCAGGCTCTATGCTACCCAGTCTGGCACGGATCAAGGCCGTTTTGAGAGGAAGGGACATACTTACTGCACGGATGAGCAAGGACCCGGACCTCGTCCACAGCAATGTAGCCAGGATGACCCTTCAATGAGACGGATTCAAATATCACCTGCAACACACAGGGCGGTAGTCAATTTCATAGAAACAGTTGTAGGCATTCATCATAGGAAGCTGCCCGGCCCCCAACCCTTTATATTTCATCTTCCCATCAGAAGCTACCCAAGAAACCTTCTATTAAGACAGCACGGTACCCTGGCAATTAACTGGGATTTTCAACACAAGGCAAAAAGGCCACACTTTGGTAGCTAGCAAAGGAAGAGCCAGTTGCATGGAATATTTTTAATGAATTTCAGAAATAACACTTAGATGCAGGAAAAACAACCAAAACACCGAGGTCTTGGAAACCCCAATCTGTATCTTTTTCATTGCAGCTTCAAGGGTCAAGCCACAACTTGACCATCCTTCTACAGAGAACTACTTTCTAATATCCCAACTTTCTTATAAAGGATAAGAGAGATGCCTACTTTGGAAGTTACCATAAGCCAAGGAGGGTTTACCATGAGTTGATTCTACATTGCCAAGGGACGTATCACATTTGAATTTATAATAACACTCTTAAGTGGCAATCTACCTCTTGGTATCCAGGAGTAGAAGGCAACTGACTTCCACCTATACTGCTATTTCCATAAAAATTTTGTAATGTATTTAGCTTCCCTCATCACTCAACCCATATCTTCACCAAGTAGATATCAATGTCTATGTGGGTAGCATGACCAACATCCTTGACCTCCCTAGTTCCAATGGCCTTCTCCAATCCACTTTAGCCCTACTTTCACCTCATTTTTCACCTTCTGGAAATTGGAAATTTCACTTTCCCATATACTCCAGCACAATCTCTACCCACAGTCTTCTCCCAGTTGACTCCTCTTGACCTGCTCCTCAGGCACACGTGGTAGCCTGGACCTCTGCTTTTCTTATCTAATCCTTGGCTTATTAATGCAGAAGGCCCAGGCTACCATGTGAGCTCCTCAGACTCCATACGAGTCTCTCCTAAAGCATCCATTCCTTTGCACCTTTATTTCAACTTTGCCAAGCCTATAACACAACTGCCTTCTGCAATCCTGTACCTTACACAACTGCTGCCCTTTCAACATGCACCCATGTAATCCCAGCAGACACCCACATCTTCAAGAGGCAAGAGGGAAAGAGAGGGACTGACTTCTAACTTTTTACCCATTGACTTGATATCCAACCACATCATTCCCTGCTTCTTCTTTGCAAGGAACACCAGTGTTCTTGACCCGGACTCTTGCTATGTTTTCCAGCTTTTGGATTCTTTTTGGTTTTCTCTGTCTATCCTGTATCTTCAAATCCTCCCTTTCATCCCTAATTCTGACATGTCAACAGCTTCTCCTATTCTTTAAAAACTACCCTTTAGCAGTAGGTTTTCTGTAATACCATCCAGTTGTGTTTCAGTAACACTTACAATTCTCAGTAGTTTTATCTTCATTCACTCCCAACATTCCCTGACTCTCTATTGCAAAATTTCAACCTAATATGATCTGGATTCCATGTTCCACACTTCCCCTAAAACTGCTTACACAGAAGATACTAAAAATCTTCTAATTGCTAAATCCCGTAGATATTTTCAGTCTTCATCTTAAAGAAGGAAGATAGTGCAGTGCTTAAACTCTGGTTCCAAGTACCTAGGTTCAAGTCCTGGCTGTGCCACTTGCTAGTTAGTGGTCTTGGGAAAGTTACGTTACTGCACTGTGCCTCATTTTCTGCATCTTTAATTACAGTGTCTACCTCATTGGGTGACTTTTTAGATTAAGGGAGTTAACACCCCACTTAAAACAATGTATGGCACATGGTACATTCTCAAGAAATATTTACTAGAATTATTGTCACAACTTGACCATTCTTCTACAACTGTCAGTGTTCATGGACTCTCCATTTCTGGGTCTTTTTTCTATTTAGGCTCAGATAACACTTAATTTTTATGATTTTTCTCATGAATCTGGTCCTGTTCTACCACAGGTCTGTAGGCATTGCTCCTTCTCCATCCTGCCTTCTAATGTGGGCTCCCGTTAGTCATCTTTTCACTGCATACACTCTCCCTTCAACAGCTGCCAATGCACTGATAACTCCCAAGCCCAGTTCTGCACCCTATACCTTTCACCCACACATCCGTCTTACGTATCCAGTTCACAGATCCGTGTTTCCAGCTAGGTAACACATCAATGACGTGAATGCAGCAGATTCTGCACAGCTTCCTCCTCAAGCCTTTTCCCTCATTGACCAACGGGCCATTCTTTCTGAAATATGGAATATGGTAAGTGGCACTATGACCCATTCAGTCACCCAAGCTGGAGACCAGGGTGGGCCTCTCCTTCTGCCTCAGCCCTCATCTCCATTTTCCTTTTTATTCTACCTTATTAGCATTTCTCAAATCTTCCCATGTCACATATCTCTGCTATTAGGATGAACCACTGGAAGCAGGCATTTTTTTGAGGTAAAAAACCAGCCAGACATCAGAACTACTGCTCTTGTTCAAAGTGTCTTCAGTTTTCATCTCCAACACCTGACAGCCTCTAAAAAGGACCCTCCCTCTCCTGTGTTTTACTCCTCAGTTCAAGTCAATGGATAGAATATAAGGTAGACGATGAGACCAACAGGAAAACCTCCCTGTGAAATCTTTTTGTGGCCTACGTGGTCACTCCAGGTCACTGGATTCAAAGACTAGTGTTCTCACCAGGGCCTGGAACTCCAACAGCTGTAACAAAAGAACTGTGGAGAACCAATGGGAACCACTGGAGATCATGGTGATGGCTGAAAAGAGGCAGCTTCCTTAGGTGATAGGATCTGTTGTGAAACAGCATGTGGCTGCCTGGGAGTTAGGTGAAGTGCCTTGGGGATGACAGTCACACCACAGAGCTGTTGCTCTAGCATGACAGCCACTCTGGAAGAATAGTTTACTAAGATAGCAGGGTCCTTCAGAGAGACTCAACAAACAAAATTATTCAAGAGGTAGAGGAAAGTTTGCAAAAGTAATGTGCTAGCCACCTCATCTTGCAGAGGGAAAAGTAAACAGAAAGCCTTCCTGTAAATAATCATGTGTCTAATTATATTTTTTAATAATTCAAAGGAAACCAAAAGCAAAGTTCATAGGAAAAAAAGCAAATAGAACATACACAGTAAATGCATTTAAAAGAAATAGCACAAAAGCATTCAAACTGTGTAATAAAAATGACAAAATAAAGAAAAAATGTTTCTGTTGCGACAATAAATATAAATGGGTTAAAATACAGAAAAGCTCTCAGACTGTCTAAATAAACAAAGTCTAATTGTATGCTATAAGATGAACACCTAAAACAGAATGACTCAATAACATTAAAAAGAACAAGTTGAACAAAGACATAATAAAGAAATGCAAATAAACAGAAAGCAGTTCTTGCAGAAATAATGTGAAAGCCTCAAAGTAGAATTTTAACCGAAAATAACAATGAAAAAATTAGGTAGATTAAATGGTCATTTAGAAAAAACACATGAGTCAAGAGACTTAAGTGGAGAAAATGATGAAAAAGATATGGGTTGAAGACTTTAACCTATGTCTTAGACTTTGACTAATCATATAGGAAAAAGCAAGTATATATAACACAAATAATAATGTATTTCCTAGATATACGTTAATAAATATAAAGACAGAATGAAACTTCTATTCAAATGCTATGGCTCAGTTGCAAAAGAAATCATATAGTAGGCTACAATATAACTTCAATAAATCCCTCGAAGAAGAAATTGTTTAGTTTTGGGCCTATACATTTTCTAACCAAATGAACTAAAACTAGAAATTAGTGACGTCTTAAAAACCAACTTATTTAAAGTTACACAATGCTTTCTTAATAACTATGGTGTCAAGTGTGCTTTGCATGTTAGCAAAAATCTAAAACAAAATTAAAAGTCAAATGACAGGCTGAGAATAATATTTGTAACACCTGTGTCAGCTAATATGAAAATATTCTTTTTTGTGTGCAAAGGACTCTTGAGAATCAACAGAAAAATAAATAAACCATTCCAATTAAAAAGTGGCCAATGACTTCAACAGGTAATTCACAAAAAGAGGAAGTAAAAATGGTAATAATCTATGAATGTAATTGTGTAAAATGAAAATGACACTGAGGATGATCAGAAGGTGCCCCAGAAGACACCTACAACCTTGGAAGGAGATGATCACTCCATCAGTATGCTTCTGATGTGAGGCTCCTAGCCACAGGAAGTCCCACCCAGGAGATAGCCAGCTCCAGTTCCCAGGGACAGACACCACAAGGGGACAAGGTGATGCCAGGACCCTCGGAGATGGAAAGACCTGCCAAGGTGTCCTGAGGAGAGGGAGAATGGTTATCTCTGACCCAAGCACACTCTCAGGAAAATTCAACCAAGGCCCTCGAGGAATGAAAGTCAGGAAATGGGAGAGTCAGGGGAGTGAGTAGAGAAGTCTAGAGGTGACTCTGGTGTAGCGTTTTCCTCCTGTCTGCAAGAGGCAGGGGAGTAGGGATGGGATGGGGAACTCACACAGGCCATGCATACCCAGTGGCACTCCAAGTCAGTATATGGAGGGCGAGACCCTGAGTACAGGGACTAGAGCAGAGGGCCCAGACTGAGAATTCCAACTTCTCTGTAGATGCTCTTCAGCTCCGAGGCTGCCATGTGGACCTACCGTCTATTGCACATGCTCCAGCCCATGGGTCTCATTAGAGACCTCCTGGTGCAGGTGTTGAAAAGATGGGGCTTGCATGGAAAGGTGAAAACCTCTCCCTCTGCATGAGGACTTGTGCAAAGCCAGGAAGCAATTCCCCACAAGAGGCTCTGAGATGAGTGATGCGCAACCCCTCCAAAAAGTGGTTTTGGTCACTTGGAGGAGGGTGTGGATTTATCAGGCCATGGTTTAAAAGACCTGGTGCTTTAACTTCACCTTTTATAGTTCTCGAGCAGAAAACTTGAATGGCAAAAATTTCAAGGGGCTGCAAACATCTTCAGGAGAAGAGAAAAATGCTGTCACATCAGAACTCCTCAAATATACATATTATCACGGGGAGAGATTGCTTA